TCAAACCCTAATACTGAAACAAGACTATTCCAGACAGAGATGAATGATACATGATTTCTGACAGAGTAAATTAGCGCGAGATCACAGTTGAAAGAATTAATATATCAGTTGCCTCAGCACAGATTAACAAATAAGGTTTGTCAATCTGTGGCCTCAGTCTCCGTCGGGCGTTCTTTCAACTATGGCGAGATGAGGTTTCTACGTCATAAGAGGGTCCGTTTTCAGAAGGTACTATTATTTATGTCCAAAAATAAAACATTGCAGTTGATTTTTCGATCGAATTATGTCATCAATCATTATTTATGTATAAAAGGATCATTATAAACATAGTTTGAGTAAAAAGTTCTATTAAGGTGTACACGCCCATTGAATGCCGATGTAAGGAGTTGCATTTTTAGTAACAAAATATCTCTGAAAAATTGGCATGTGCCCCTGGAAATTCTATCAATAGTTACTCATTCTAGGAAATATTCTTCACATACTTTATTGTCTACTCAAATTTTCATCCCATTTCTCCAATGTCGGTAAATTATTATGATCACATATTAACCATCCGAAGATCTTGCAGTCTCTGGAGAGTGTTTCTCTGTCATTCTAATTGTGTTATATTCGACAGCTCTTCATTGATCGAGACGATTTCCAAAGTTACTGAGTGTGAGGTGTGTGAAAAATGGTTTACTTGAGTTTAAAATGGTGATCCTCAACTTTAGTTTTATTGATATTTGGTTTAACTAGAGACATCTTCCTGTAGAACTCAATATGGAATTTTTCTTTTTGAAAATCGGTCGACGGGTTCTAGGTCAGGAGGGTGTTGCGGGTTGAAATCGCACTTACTGTATACCAGAGGTTACACATATTTTTTTAAAATTTGGTACAGTTATGTAAGCAACCATCCAAAATGGCCGACTTCTGGTTTTTCTGGAAATATCTGCAACTTTGTTTTTCGAACGGAACACCCTGTATATTTCTACATATTCAAGTTTGACAGGTCAGAACAAATGCAATCTTCATGACAAGATTCCGATTTTTCCACAGCCTCAAAAAATTATTGGAAATGCGAGGAAATTCTTGAAACTCGTTGTAGATTTTTGAATGTGCCTATTCGACTTGTTACTGAACCGAAATACAGAAATAATATATCATTTTTGTCCTCAATGAGTTTTTTTATCGCTTGGAGCGCACGAAAGGAAATCCCTTTCTAGAAAGAAATGAAGGTGGCCCATAGGGGTTCCATTTGAAGAAATAAATGTTCAATCGAAATGTGATGTGACTGAAATGATTCTTCGATATACGTGGGATTTATTGTGACTAGCCTAGATCACATAATTATCATGTATCCACGACGTAAAATAAAAAACAATTCAAATCAAAGTTTCTTCGAACAAATATGTGACATTTGACATAAAGATTGCTTTTGTTTTGACCTGTTGAACTTGAATAATGTAAAAATATACAGGGTGTTCCATTTACAAAACAAAGTTGCTGTCATTTCCAGAAAAACCGGAAGTTCGCCATATTGGATTGTGATGTGATCAAATCCGGAACGGTTGCTTATATTATAACTGTACCGAATTTCAGAAAAATCCGTTCACAAATGCAGAAGTTACAGGAGTGGCCCGATACTCTGTGTCCCCCGGTATATGTCTGAAAAATTGGCAACAAATGGAAATCTTTTTTTATTATTGAGTTCAGGAAAAAATGTCAACCTCCAGAAAATGTTCTGCAAGTCCAAAAATCGAGAATGCAAATATCAGATAATTATCACATTTTTTTCAGTTGGATACGTCAAAAAATATGAACTTTGCTCAAAGTGAATGATAAAATCTGATTTTATCGCAGATATATGTAATTAGATATTCGAAACTAGTTTTCAATTTCAGTCAACTTTTCTCAATGAAAAACTTACATATTGTCGAAAATGAATAAGGTAATTTATTCTTAAGCAAAATCAATTTTTGACATACCTCGTACACGACTGAATAAATATGACTTCTCTGCCATTTGCATTCAACCTTCCTGATGAATCTCATGTGAGATTTTTTTTTCAAAATTTGAAATTACTCGATTCCGATGTACCTACTTCTCCAATAACGTTTACGATATTATGATATTCTGGTTTTTCTGGACTTTCTCCATATTCAAATTTCATTGTTTAATCACAGGATTTTTGAAAACTTTTGAATTTTGACCTATAAGCTGTGTTATTTGATTAATAATTTTCCCCAATATGTATCACAGAGGTACTATATTATTACATCTAATTTTTTGTGTCTGATGATGGCATGTTGCCGAAACTATAGTAACACATCTTTCATAAAATAATTTTGTGGTCGACCGACTTGGTGTTTCTAATTGTTTTTCTTCAAAAATCAATTGAACCACTTTGAGGAATATGGATAGTTTCTATGATTGCATAAGGTAGGTAACTATTTAAACTTTTTTTTCTTGCTTCAATCAAAGCAAATTGATGTTATAATACTCTTTACAGTAATTCCATCTATTAGGTCTTAATTGATACACAAAAAAAGAGTTCAATTTCTCTTGGGCTATTTATGGAATCTGTCAAGGAGGTCTTTATCCTCTTTAGAGTTGGAAAGCACTGTCACCAATCGCATTTGTGACCATCATATTATGGAGAAAAACAATGAAAACATTAGAAAACATATATTTATATTGGGATAAGAAGATACTCATTAAATTATTTTCGTGTAGAACTTGGACTAACTCCAAAGGAGTTGATAGTTTTTTCAGGCAGGCAGTTTTGAGCAGAATCCAGTGACGTACCCAAAATGATATATTTTCAGGTATTTTGCTTTTTCATGAACGTATAGAAAAAATATTGTATACAACTCGTGCAAAGTGTTTATTACACTTGACGCGTGTGTATTAAACACTCACTTTTTGCACTTGTTGCATAAATAACCATTATTATATAGTTCCTATATATACCGGGTGTCAACGAATCTATTAGACAAGTCATAACTACTAGACAATTAGGTGTATCACAATGAGATTTGGTATAGGTAAATGGTGTGGGAGGAGGAGAGTTTTCACATATTATTCACTTTCCGGTCACTTCCGGTTTCACCGGAAATGGTTCTGGTTCTAAATTGTTAAATTTAACACCCTGTTTATTGTAACATTTTTGGATTTCTGAGACAATTCTAGATCAGAAAGTGACAGTTTCAAAAGTTTTCATGCCTACTTAATTTTTTTTAATCACTTTTGAAATAACATATCTAGGTGGCCATGATCGGAAGTAAAGTAATCTAAGGACCTCAGGTGATATCAGAAAATTACAATCGCGAAGTTTTATTGACATATATGTTAGATGTGAATAAGACAAGTTGGCAAAATTACATTTTCGTGTCTAACTATTATTTTTACCGAAAAAAGGATATTTTGACGAATCTAACGATACTAATTTATTTGCGAGTGGATCAACAAATTTAACAAAATTAACAATAACTTCAGCGAGGCACGTACATTTCTTTCAATTTCCTAATTTCTTACTGAAATTTTCACTTTAGTAAATTTTCAAAGTGCATTCCTCCTTGTTCGAGACACATTTCAGCTCGTTCAATTGTTTCTCTCAACACGTTTCGTAACATTTGTTGCGTTATACAGGTTATACTTCTAAATGCCTGTAGAATCCTTTCTTCTAAGATTTCGAGAGTGGCTGGGGCTGTTGCATAGTAGACCCTTTCCTTGACATATCCCCATATAGTTTACTTCCGATCATGGCCACCTAGATGTAATTTCAAAAGTGACTCTCAAAAAATTAAGTAGGCATAAAAACTTTCGAAAATGTCACATTCTGATCTAGAATGGTCTCAGAAATCCAAAAATGTTACAATATATAGGGTGTTCCATTTTAAAATTTAGAACCGGAGCCATTTCCGGAAAGTGAAAAATATGCGAAAATTCTCCTCTTCACATACCATTTACCTATACCAAATCTCATTTTGATAAACCTGATGGTCTTGAAGTTATGACTTGTCTAATAGATTCGTTGACACTCGGTACATGGTATTTTTTGAAGGGGTTCACTCATATTTTTTTTTTATCGATTGGAGCGCACGAAAGGGAATCCCTATAATGTTCAGAGAACATCGTGCGTTCCTAGGGAGGATAGGGATAGGAGGTAGGTATTGGATTTTCTTTTTCTTCTGGAGATTATATGTTGTTGGGAATACTTCCACAGGCAATGAATTCCAGAGCCTAGCCGTTCTATGGATGAAGGAGTCTTGATAAAGTGCTGTTCGACATCTTTCGAGGTTGACGACGAAAGGATGTGCTGACTGGGCTTGTCTAGTTCGTCTGATTGGTATTGCTAGTGAAGGGATGATTGCAGAGATTTCCGAAGAACATTTCCCGTGGAAGTATCGATACACCAGGCGAATGGCTCTTCTCTGGATGGAATCTAAGAGCATCAGCGTATGTTTTGGTGCTGAACCCCATATGTGGGAACAGTATTCTAGAACAGGTCGTATCTGCGCTTTGTAGATCATGAGAATAGCTGTTGAGGTGTAAAGTAGCTTTTCGCACGGAACAAGAATCCGAGTTTTTGTGAAGCAGCTTTTGCAATGGATCTGACATGATTATCCCATGAAAGAGTGTTGCTGATGGAAATACCGAGCATACCGAGCAATTCTTTGGGGTTCAGAGCCCCCAAGCCCCAACCAAATGAGCAGCTGTAGCTGTCCAGTCAATACTTGATTATCTCCACCGCGTAGGTATACCTTAGTTTATAAGTACAGTCGTCTTCAGAAAACATGTCGCACATGGACGATGGATATCATTCTCAATAACTCCTGCAATAAGAGCGCTGACACCGTCCAACCGCGACATGATCTCTGAAGACGACTGTACGAAAAAATAACTCATTCTTCATTCACGACCAGTCGTCCTCTTATCCACTTATCCGCTACTTTTTTAATAACATTCCGGTGATTCCGGATTGCACGAGCAAGAGAGGTTTGGTTTGTCGTTTCGTTTTCGTGCCACAAGTAAGCTGGTACTAAGCTGGTACCAAAGGTGGTACGGGCAGCGGACGAACTCGCATCAGTAGAACCGTAGAACGTTCAGTTGTTTTAAACAAAAAGTGAGCTGCATTGTGAATTGATTGTCTATATCGTTCGTACCTACTTGTTTTTTATGTTGTTTTCTCTTCATTTTTCTGAATTTGATTATTATACAAAAAGCAGCAAACGAAGTGTCGATCGTGTTCCGATTTTTGTAGAACTTTCTTGAACTAATAAATCAGTTTGTTGATACGGAAGTCGCAGTTACCATGGTTGGTGCAAAGGAGAATAATAACAAAAGGTACGTGGAAACTATTTATAATAATTGAAGTTAGGTGGTATAAACATTTGTCATCACTGGAACGACTCTCTAGAACACTGCTGATTGCCCATTAAATAGAGATCATATTGTATATTATATAATAACTATAATATTATTATATAATTTATTATGATTTTTATGTACTTAAACTTACCTAGTAGTCGCCTAGCAATGCTGCTTATTTATTACCTGTCTTACCACTGTTGTGCAGAAAAAAGTTCAATTGGAGAGGAACAAAAAATCGGAAAAAACATTGTTGTTCCACGGTTCAACTCGACAGTCGAGAGTCGATATTAAAGATTAAACCGGATTAAAAAGATCCACTCTTGCGACTAGAGTCGATAATACCGAGTATCTGAGATGAGTCCTATACGAGGTCCTATACCTAGGTAAATACTATGGTACCTCCTGAGGTCGATCTCTTTGGTATAAGAGAGCCCAGAGATAGCACAATGTCATTCATAGAACGTTCATAGGATATTATTCGAGAATATTTGGATATTCTCAGAATATTCTCACAACCCGCCACAACCCTAACAACACCAGTATATCCTAGGGACTTCCCAGGGACGTCCCTGATTTTATACTAGGACATTCCAGGGATGTCCTTTGTCGGGACAACGTACATACTAGGGATGTCCCAGGGACATCCACTGGCCGCCGAAAAATGCATCCAAGGGTACGTCCCTGGGATGTACCAAGAACGAAGAGAGACTATTCCTAGGACGTCCCAAGGATATTCCAGGGACATCCAAACCCGGGGTCTTCAGCTCATCAGGCACGCACCTTATTATTCCATTGGCTAATATGGCTTCTGAAGATTTATGTACTTAACAGATTTTTAAACAGGACTAAGCTACGGAAACCTGAATGAATACAACTTTGTTAGGATTTGGGTAAAATCATTATCATTATCGGGTGTTTAAAAATGAGAAGCATTATGCATTTACGATTTCTGTTTGCAAAAAATGGTCATTTTTTAAGAAGTTCTGAGACTTTTTTCTTTATTTTCATTACAATTATTTTCCGGCAGAAAAACAAACATTTTCAAAAAAATTCAACTCAATAGTTGGATGAAATTCAATGACTATGATGTGAATGGATATCAGATATTCCAGGGACACGAGTAGGATAACCTAAGGATGTACAGGGCGGGATGTCCACTGGGCAACCACTGTGGGACATCCCCTGGATGCTCCAATCATGTCCTTGTACCGCGAGACAAAAAAAGGACGTACCTAGGACATCCCATTGATGTTAGGGAAACTGCGTTGTGAGCGGGAAAGTTTACAGCAGTGGGACGAGCGATGAAAAGTGCTGAATTTGTTGTGCAAGAATGGTTAATTGGCTGGTGTAAGCAATAAATATGTGTGAAAAGTCTAGAAATCGCAAATATAGATTTCCAATTGATATTTTTTTAAAAGATTGAAGTATATACGGAATATGTCCTAGTCGGGACATGAATGGTACAACTCAGGTATATGTACTCGCAGAGCTGGGCAGTACTCGAGTACAAGTACTCAAATATTGTACTCTGAGTACATTTTGTGTACTCAGTACCCAGTACCCGAGTACATTTTCAATAAAGTACCCGGTACTCGTACCCGTAGCATTTCGGGAAAAGTACCCGGTACCCGCGTTTATTGAACGAGTACATTTTCCGGGTACTTTTTGCAAGAATAAACTTTTCTCTGCATATGCGAGTGCAACACGGGAAACCGCTGTTATATGTTATATCATCATTATCAGTCAGCACTTCAATCAGAACCAAACGTGGAGTTTTTGTTTTGTACACTGTGTAACAGTTATAGAGTCAAGTGTTTTTTCTATCGTTTCTGTTGTTTTCTTAAGACTAAACCACACTAAACTGAGAAGTAAGAGTATAGTATTGCAAGTTAAGTTGTTTTGTTTAATAAATATGGTTACTAATACTGATGCAAAATTTCTCAATTTTCTATTCAAATGTACTTTAAATGAGTACCCGTGAAATTCGGGTACTTGTACTCGGAGTACTTTACTCTGAGTACATCCAATGAGTGGGGTACTCGGTACTCTGTACTCGTTCTTCAATTATAAACAGTACCCGGTACCCGGTACTCGAGTACAATTTATCAGTACCCGGCCCAGCTCTGTGTACTCGTTGGGTGAGGAATGGGACATATCTGGAATATGTAATAGTTGGGACATGAATGGGATAGCTCGGGGATGTACTAGTTGGGACATGAATGGGACAACTCAGTAATTTGTACTTGTTGGGACATCCATTGGAAATATTTTGAGGGACATCCCTGGGATATCCCAATCACGTACTTATCCCGGCGGTACAGTTTGGAACATGAAAGGGACGTCCCTAGGACATCCCTGTGTTGTTAGGCAATGTGATACAAATATTCTAGGGTTGTTTTATGAACATTCGGAATGGACTGTTTTAAATATTCTGAGAATATTCCTAGTATTTTGAAGGAGAAGGAAGGACTTTTGAATAAGGCTTGCTCCGGTGGAGATGCGAACCTATACTATATTAATTGTGAATCGATTTTTACTCGGATTTTTACGTTTTTACGTACCTGAAACCTTAACCACTTTGCCACGAAACTTACCGATTGATAAAATGAATAGTGGGATAATCAGCATTGAGGCTGGAGAATAATAGGTTATTGTGTCAGGGTAATCATTATGAATATTGATATACAAGAATAGGTACATCAATATCATTTATTTCAGAACGAATCTGAATATCTCAGATTCAGAATATTCAAAAAGAATATTCCCAGAATATTCAAAAAGCATATTCTGAGAATATGTTTTATTGAATGTCCATAAAATATTCGCTGCAGGATGAGAATATTCTATGATCATTCTGAGATCTGTATGGGGGTGTGACTTAAATGATGTCATCAATTCCAGGGGGTGATTCCTTGTCATAAGTTCATATAAATAAACGTGTGTCCTAACTGGCTTCGTTTCCGAGTAACGAGGTGTTCAAGCAGGCTTACTATAAAATTTCGTATAAAATAGTTTTTCTAGTACTCAAAAGTCTTTACGCCAATTTTGTTGAAACCATATAAGGGTGTTTGTTAGCAGTAAAAAGGAAACTTTGGGTAGGTAATAATTAATGAAAAACCGATTTTACCGATTTTTCATTAGACTTTGGACACCCCGTTTCTCGGAAACGGATAAAGTTAGGACACACATATCTCTGGGTAATTTTGCACTCATCATGCGATGTTTTTTTTTTCGACATTTTTTTTTGCAACTTACGGGATTTTGTCTCAAAAATGCGAATTTGATAATGAAAATGTGAACAAACCACTATTTACTATTTACCGAGATATTTCACGAAAAAGTTCTAAATTTCACCTTTTTCCGCCTGTCTTGTACTTCAATGACACTTTTTTTGTAGAAAAATCAACAAGAAACATGATTTTTGAATGGACATAAACTTCCGGATGAACTTTTAGAAAAATTTCTTTTGGAAAACGTTCTCCCTTCTTCAATCTTTTTTTCCACTTTAAAGGCTGAAACTAGTTGTGTGATATAAATTTTCAGAAAAAATCAAAGTTTTCTCATTTATCTATCCACGGTGATTTGACATGTCCTTGGTAATTGAATGGCAGCTGGTATGATTGTTCATCAAATAGTAAATTTGGAAATCATATTTCTATTCGATTTTTATATTAAAAATGCATCATTGATGTACATCGTGATATTATTAGGACATATACGAGGACATATATAAAGGGTGAATCTGAATTATTTAACAGGGTATAATATATCTCGCCGAAACAAGTTGCTTGGCCTAATTCTTCATTTCCCTCCTAAAGTTTTTTGGTTTACTATATAGGTCGAAAATGTGAATAGAACTTCTTGATTAGTGTTTATGATGAAATAATGCAACTGTAAGCTTTTTTCTTTAGAAAATGTAAACGAAATGTTTCATAGTTGGAGTCAACTCTAAACCAATAAAAGCATTAAATACCTGTACCCCCGTTATCTTAAAGAATGTTTTATATGAGCAATTGTTTGCCAAACAACTTATTTTGGTGAGATATACTGGGTGTAATTTAATTGATGGCTGAAATAATAGGATATGGTTCCTTGGCTGATTTTAAGAAGAAAAGTTTATATGAACATATGCCCTAAACCTCTGAAAATTCGAGCAATAGGGTGTTGAAATTGTATTTTCTCTTTATTGGTTGATTGATTTGGAACTTTCATAATGTAAATACTGTCACTTTCATGGATACTTGTCGAAATAATTATTTTAAATACAAAATAGGGCACTAGCCTACTAGTTCGAAAAAATTTCGTTATTAAACAAATACATGAAAATACTTTCCATTTTTTACGCGAAAACGGTTTCTCGGACGGAGAAAATCTCGGAGAAAATTCAAAGACTACCAAAATTATTTTTATTTTCGGAAAAAGCACGACGGGACGATATATTTTCGAAAAAATCTCCAGTATACATCCCATACTGATGACGCCACTGGTGGGAATATTGAATAATATCCTGCATCTAAAAATGTGTAATAGTGCTTAGTAGGTGCATGTCGAATTTCATGGAAATATCTAGATCAGTATCGAAGTTATAATAAGAAATCGTTTTTTTTTCTCAAAATTTCAACACCCTATAGCTCGAAAGTTATGAGGTTTAGGATATATATTTATAAAAACTTCTCTTCTCAAAATAAGCTGAGGAACCCTATATTCTTCATTTTCAGCCATCAATTAAATTACACCCTGTATATCCTGTTAAAAAACTTCAGATTCACCTTATATACCCAGATTTTTTTCTGATGGTATCCAGAATTCCTACATTATTACATATTCATGAGGTTCACGAGGGGGGGGGGCATGGCCCTGAACGGACTAAATATGAACCGTTAATTCTGAACGAAATTGTAGCCCACTTCCGGTCCTTCCGGTATAAGCGGAAGTTCGCTAGGTGTTCGCGAATATTTTTAGCTGAAGACTCG